AATAGAATATGTATTCTTTGGTTTAGATTGGTTTGGTTTATTTTGTTTTACGGCATATCAACCTCAATGGATTATTTAATGCCGACAAGATTTTTAGGATAGATTCGTATGAATAGAATATGTATTCTTTGCTTTAGATTGGTTTGGTTTATTTTGTTTTTACGGCATATCAACCACAATCGGTTATTTAATGCCGACAACATTTTAGGATAGATTCGTATGAATAAATATGTATTCTTTGGTTTATTGGTTTGGTTTATTTTGTTTACGGCATATCAACCTTTATTTAATGCCGACAAGATTTTTTAGGATAGATTCGTTTGAATAGAATATGTATTTTTGTTTTAGATTGGTTTGGTTTATTTTGTTTTACGGCATATCAACCACAATCGGTTATTTAATGCCGACAACATTTTTAGGATAGATTCGTATGAATAAAGATGTATTCTTTGGTTTTAGATTGGTTTGGTTTATTTTGTTTTACGGCATATCAACCTCAATGGATTATTTAATGCCGACAAGATTTTTAGGATAGATTCGTATGAATAGAATATGTATTTTTGCTTTAGATTGGTTTGGTTTATTTTTGTTTACGGCATATCAACCACAATCGGTTATTTAATGCCGACAACATTTTTAGGATAGATTCGTATGAATAGAGTATGTATTCTTTGGTTTAGATTGGTTTGGTTTATTTTGTTTTACGGCATATCAACCTCAATGGATTATTTAATGCCGACAACATTTTTAGGATAGATTCGTATGAATAGAATATGTATTCTTTGGTTTAGATTGGTTTGGTTTATTTTGTTTTACGGCATATCAACCTCAATGGGTTATTTAATGCCGACAACATTTTAGGATAGATTCGTATGAATAGAATATGTATTCTTTGGTTTAGATTGGTTTGGTTTATTTTGTTTTACGGCATATCAACCTCAATGGGTTATTTAATGCCGACAAGATTTTTTAGGATAGATTCGTATGAATAGAATATGTATTCTTTGCTTTAGATTGGTTTGGTTTATTTTGTTTTACGGCATATCAACCACAATCGGTTATTTAATGCCGACAACATTTTTAGGATAGATTCGTATGAATAAAGTATGTATTCTTTGCTTTTAGATTGGTTTGGTTTATTTTTGTTTTACGGCATATCAACCTCAATGGATTATTTAATGCCGACAAGATTTTTAGGATAGATTCGTATGAATAGAATATGTATTCTTTGCTTTAGATTGGTTTGGTTTATTTTGTTTTACGGCATATCAACCACAATCGGTTATTTAATGCCGACAACATTTTTAGGATAGATTCGTATGAATAAAGTGTGTATTCTTTTGTTTAGATTGGTTTGGTTTATTTTGTTTTACGGCATTTCAACCTCAATGGATTATTTAATGCCGACAAGATTTTTAGGATAGATTCGTATGAATAGAATATGTATTCTTTGCTTTAGATTGGTTTGGTTTATTTTGTTTTTACGGCATATCAACCACAATCGGTTATTTAATGCCGACAACATTTTTAGGATAGATTCGTATGAATAGAATATGTATTCTTTGGTTTAGATTGGTTTGGTTTATTTTGTTTTACGGCATATCAACCTCAATGGATTATTTAATGCCGACAAGATTTTTAGGATAGATTCGTATGAATAGAATATGTATTCTTTGCTTTAGATTGGTTTGGTTTATTTTGTTTTACGGCATATCAACCACAATCGGTTATTTAATGCCGACAACATTTTTAGGATAGATTCGTATGAATAAAATATGTATTCTTTGGTTTAGATTGGTTTGGTTTATTTTGTTTTACGGCATATCAACCTCAATGGATTATTTAATGCCGACAAGACTTTTAGGATAGATTCGTATGAATAGAATATGTATTCTTTGCTTTAGATTGGTTTGGTTTATTTTGTTTTACGGCATATCAACGTCAATGGATTATTTAATGCCGACAACATTTTTAGGATAGATTCGTATGAATAAAATATGTATTCTTTTGTTTAGATTGGTTTGGTTTATTTTTTATTTTTTGTTTTAAATGGCATAACATTTTTAGGATAGATTCCTAGAATGGGTTATTTAATGCCGACAATTTAATGCCGATTTTTAGGATAGATTCGTATGAATAGAATATGTATTCTTTGCTTTAGATTGGTTTGGTTTATTTTGTTTTACGGCATATCAACCACAATGGGTTATTTAATGCCGACAACATTTTTAGGATAGATTCGTATGAATAAAATATGTATTCTCAAATGGTTTAGATTGGTTTGGTTTATTTTTGTTTATTTTGTTTTACGGCATATCAACCCTCAATGGGTTATTTAATGCCGACAAGATTTTTAGGATAGATTCGTATGAATAGAATATGTATTCTTTAAATCAGTTTAGATTGGTTTGGTTTATTTTGTTTTACGGCATATCAACCTCAATGGGTTATTTAATGCCGACAACATTTTTAGGATAGATTCGTATGAATAGAATAGAATATGTATTCTTTGGTTTAGATTGGTTTGGTTTTATTTTGTTTTTACGGCATATCAACCTCAATGGATTATTTAATGCCGACAAGATTTTTAGGATAGATTCGTATGAATAGAGTATGTATTCTTTGGTTTAGATTGGTTTGGTTTATTTTGTTTTACGGCATATCAACCACAATCGGTTATTTAATGCCGACAACATTTTTAGGATAGATTCGTATGAATAAAGTATGTATTCTTTGGTTTAGATTGGTTTGGTTTATTTTTTTTACGTTTTTTGGACGGCATATCAACCTCAATGGATTATTTAATGCCGACAAATGGATTATTTTTTTTAGGATAGATTCATATGAATAGAATATGTATTCTTTTGCTTTAGATTGGTTTGGTTTATTTTGTTTTACGGCATATCAACCTCAATGGGTTATTTAATGCCGACAACATTTTTAGGATAGATTCGTATGAATAGAATATGTATTCTTTGGTTTAGATTGGTTTGGTTTATTTTGTTTTACGGCATATCAACCTCAATGGGTTATTTAATGCCGACAACATTTTTAGGATAGATTCGTATGAATAGAATATGTATTCTTTGGTTTAGATTTGTTTGGTTTATTTTTGTTTTACGGCATATCAACCTCAATGGTTTATTTAATGCCGACAACATTTTTAGGATAGATTCGTATGAATAAAATATGTATTCTTTTTGGTTTAGATTGGTTTGGTTTATTTTGTTTTACGGCATATCAACCTCAATGGATTATTTAATGCCGACAAGATTTTTAGGATAGATTCGTATGAATAGAATATGTATTCTTTGCTTTAGATTGGTTTGGTTTATTTTGTTTTACGGCATATCAACCACAATCGGTTATTTAATGCCGACAACATTTTTAGGATAGATTCGTATGAATAGAATATGTATTCTTTGCTTTAGATTGGTTTGGTTTATTTTGTTTTTACGGCATATCAACCTCAATGGATTATTTAATGCCGACAAGATTTTTAGGATAGATTCGTATGAATAGAATATGTATTCTTTGCTTTAGATTGGTTTGGTTTATTTTGTTTTACGGCATATCAACCACAATCGGTTATTTAATGCCGACAACATTTTTAGGATAGATTCGTATGAATAAAGTATGTATTCTTTGGTTTAGATTGGTTTGGTTTAATTTGTTTTACGGCATATCAACCTCAATGGATTATTTAATGCCGACATGATTTTTAGGATAGATTCGTATGAATAGAATATGTATTCTTTGGTTTAGATGGTTTGGTTTATTTTGTTTTACGGCATATCAACCTCAATGGGTTATTTAATGCCGACAAGATTTTTAGGATAGATTCGTATGAATAGAATGTGTATACTTTGTTATAAATCAGTTTGTAGATCAGGGTTTTATGTTTATTTTGTTTTAAGGCATATCAACACCTCAATGGGTTATTTAATGCCGACAAGATTTTTAGGATAGATTCGTATGAATAGAATGTGTATACTCTGTAATAAATCAGTTTGTAGATCAGGGTTTTACGTTTATTTTGTTTTAAGGCATATCAACACCTCAATGGGTTATTTAATGCCGACAAGATTTTTAGGATAGGTTCGTATGTATAGAATGTGTATACTTTGTAATAAATCAGTTTGTAGATCAGGGTTTTACGTTTATTTTGTTTTAAGGCATATCAACACCTCAATGGGTTATTTAATGCCGACGAGATATTTAGGATAGATTCGTATGAATAGAATGTGTATACTTTGTAATAAATCAGTTTGTAGATCAGGGTTTTATGTTTATTTTGTTTTAAGGCATATCAACACCTCAATGGGTTATTTAATGCCGACAAGATTTTTAGGATAGATTCGTATGAATAGAATGTGTATACTTTGTAATAAATCAGTTTGTAGATCAGGGTTTTACGTTTATTTTGTTTTAAGGCATATCAACACCTCAATGGGTTATTTAATGCCGACAAGATTTTTAGGAAAGTTTTGTATGAATAGAATATGTATTCTTTGTAAGAAATCTGTTTGTAGATCAGGGTTTTGCGCTTATTTTGTTTTACACCATATCAACCTCAATAGTCTGGTCTGTACCTAGATAGGTTGCCGCTTGGGAATAATAAGATGCCGTAAGCTTGGATGCGCTTGTACTCTAATGGATATTGGTAAGGAATTGTTAATCGGAGAGCCGAGTTCCAATTCCTGTGGCGTTCATTATATTCACTTACGCGCAAATACCCTTTGGAAAGATATGAATCTACTTCTTCCTCCCCCATCTATGGGTTAATTAGTAAAACGTATCATATATTTATATATGAGCATCTTTGATAATGGAGATATCAACCCAGAGAATATCGTTTAACATAAAACAAGAACAATCCAGAACTATTTACAGAAATTACAAAAAATCTAGACCTACTTAGGAAGAATGACAAACTGAAAAATATACTTCGGTACCAATATCCATTAGACTACAAGCGCATCCAAGCTTACAGAACTTTTATTATTCCCAACCGGTCACCCATTTAGGTACTGACCAGGCTCGGCCTTGCTTAGCGTTGAGGATCTTATGGGAACAATTGTTTCAACGTGATATGGCCGTGAGCTACACCAGCCGCACATCCACGCTTACAGCACCTTTTTATTGACAAGCGGGCACTCATCTAGGCACTGGCCAGGCTCTATGTTGCTTAACTTCGGTTATTGAACGAGAACCGGTGATGCCACCGAAAATTGGGAACTAGAAGGTTATTTATACTTACAGTCAGAAAGAGGCAGCGAAAATTTCTTGGAGATATAAAGAAGAAAGAAACCTGAGAGAATTCAACACACACAAGGCCAAGAAAAGCAGGAGTCTAACAGTGACTGAGCCTGCATCACAGGATGAAGTTGTCCAGTGGAAGGAATAGCGATACCTAGAGCAACAAAAGAAAAGAAGTTGGGGAGGGCCACTACCCACTTAAGTTAAGGAACATGGCATATATTACCAATTTTTGATTTTGGAAACGAGCTATTTAAAAAAAAGCACTAAGATGTTTTGACATAGAATTAGTATAACATTAGAAGCCAGGTCAGGACCAAGAACATTGAAATGAAGAGTCTGCAATGTTACTGGTCCTCACCTAGTATCTCGGCTTCAGTCACTTTCCCGCCGCCGATGTGTAACTTCCCACTGCCGTTTCTATAAATACTTCCATTGTAATTGTTTTGACTAGCGTTACTTTTTCTTTTTTTTAAATGTTGTTATTCTTATTTCTTATTTAAGACAGATTGCCTTCCCCTATCCCCCACCTTTTTGGCCTTGTGCCATATTTTTGTATTATTCAAAATAAATATTACTTTCCTCTTTGTATATAAAATTGTAATCATTGTAAATACTCATTGGGGTTTCATTTTTTTAAAGTTGTTATTTTTATTCCCACGTTCCGCAGACAAATTTAAAGGATGTTCCAATAACTTGGACTGATTTTAAATGTGAATTAAGTTTAAGCGTCCAATGATTTTTTCTTTTTCTTTCAGATTTAACAACTTAAGCCTTTCGCAATTTCAACCATGGAAAGATTAACAATAAAACAACGTGTTAACGTTATCGAAGACTATTACGAAAATGGACGTTCAAACAGAATTTGAATAAGAAGGTCCCAAGTCGCATCATCTCTCAAAACAGCGAAGTCAATTGACCACAATGATCGTGCGACTTGATGCCTTTAGATTTCTTCCTTTGGGGTCATCTCAAAAGTAAAGTCTATGCCATCAAGTCAACAAGAATTCAATAGTTGAAGGATCAGATAATAAGGCATATTGGGGAGATTAAGGAGCAACTATGCAAAAATTTTCACCATCGAGTGAAGGTGTACCGCCGAAGCCTTGGCGGACATTTGAGCGATATTATTTTTCACACATAATTGCCATGACTTAAATCACATGATCCAATAGAGAAATAAATCAGATTTCACTAATAACACTGATTTATTTACTGCTGATTTTGATCCGTCTTAATGAAACACCCTTTACATATGGGAACTAGTGAGGACTTCATAGAGACTTGAGGTATTATGGTGGATGTAGTAAGAATGGTAAGTAAGATTGTGTTGTTTTGGTGTAAAGAATATGTTTCGGTCAGTTATCGTGGCTAGCTCAGTTTAAGATGAGACAGATTGAAGACAAGCCTACCTCAATGTCGACGTTTTTGGCCTTGTGCCTCATTTTCATATTATTCAAAATAAATATTAGGATCTTCTATCGTAGCTATACTTTATGGATTTAAGCCTACTACCAGACTGACGGCAAGGTCTTATCCTTTTGCAGATTAGTAGTTAGATGTAACCGCAAGTTCTATGACTGCCGTTTCTTCTCTTGCACTTCTCCCTTCTGGGACTCTATTTCAGCTTCTTAGTCAAAGTTGATCTTGAAAAATTTAAACGCAATATCAATCTTTATCTTCTGTCTTTATAATTCTTGTTCTTTCATTGTTCTCTCTTCTTACTGTTTTTCTCATATTCTCTAACACTCCGTACCCCCTTGTGTCTTAGTGGCTTTATTGCCTTGCTTTCCTTGAAATGATTAAAAACAACAATACTCTATTTTTCATTTTCATACTCGTGTTAATGACTTTCATTGACTTGACAACAAAGAATATTTTTTAATTGCCATCTTTTCTTTTATTGCAACTGCGAATCTCCACTAACAAAAGCCGGTAACTTTGTCTCAGAACCACAAAACTAGTTGAAGAATTTAGGTTTTTACCAATCGAAACCTGTTTCTTTAATCAAGGTCAATGCAGTCAATGCTTTAGTGTTAATTAATAAATGCAAAAACGAAAAGGTCCTTGACAAACGAGGAACTGTTAAAAACTCGTACAATCTCATTAGGAACGTGATTGCGATGAGAAATGGCGTGAATACGAGGCATGAGAAGCAGCAAAGCACAGAGTCATAAAGAAAAATATTGAGACAAACAAAAATGATAATGGATATTAAAACAATATGCAGCGTTGTGTAGAGCAGACGTGCAAACAGAGGGACAAAGAAACGCATGACCGTACGCATGCGTAAAAGATGACAAAAAGACGTTACCCTTTCAAACGGGCGAAAAAAGAACTAAAAGGAGAAAAAGAATGAAAGAATAAAAATAAAAATAAAATAGTATAGAAAAGGTTATGTTTAATTTTATGGCATATTAATCTTTGTTAGGTTATTTCGTGTGGGATTTTGTATCGGGGAATCTATTTGATATTTCGAACAAAAGGAAAACATATCCCCAATAACTGAAGCAACATTAATGCAGAAAATCTTTTCTCTTGCGTTAACTGTAATTTGGGAGTCGATTGTTGGCAGGATTATATGCCCAGAATATAATATTCGTGATGTTGTGATCTATATGGGATCGAATTGTACTAAATCCTGACAAATGAAAAGTTAACCTATGAGAGAGTGTGGTGCATGTGTGTGCCAATGTAATAAACACTTACCAACAATAATTTCCCAATCTATGTTACTGATGAAGAAATAAAATTACCTTTAAAGAAATTATTGGAATATATATATATATATATACCCTAAATGTATCCTTTGTTAAAATCCGAGTCATTGTATTTGCATTTTTTCTATCATGAATTCTGTAATATCACTTTTCGGCAACCCGATAGCAAAGTTGACGCCGAAGTTAAGAGCTTTCATCTGTGTATCCAATGGTTTGAATTTGGATAAATTTGTAATTAAGTCCTTTCTGCTGATTTTTTTTTTTAAATTCTATAACAAATCAACACAATTAATTTATTTTGCAAATTACGGATTTGGTTATTGTTATTGAAAGTGATTCAGATGAATTACTTAATTATGATTATTCAAATCCCCCTAATATGATTTCTATCAGTTGTATAGACTTGCTTGAACCGGCTTCTAATACTCTGGAGGGAGTGGCTTGCGGGTAGAAGACGTATTCGTGCGGTCACAGTCCGTTGGACTAAGTAAACGTGGATGAGTTACACGGCGGAATTTGTGAGGAGCATCTATATATCGAGTCTTATAAACCTATTACCTGACATGAGGCCCATTTGGGGATCTTTTAAAATTAAACTCACTACATGTTATTCCTTGTATTCACATTGAATTGCTTACATACATTGCATTTGTAGCGATATATTTTACAGCATTTAGCTTTTACAGTTTTTATTAAAAATTTAAATATCAAACTCAAAATTTATGTAAAATTTAAAATCAAACTCAGCGTTTCTACTACACGCTCCAAAAACAATAACTCATTTCCAATAGCAATTTTCGGATACAACAATACATATATTTTTGTTGTCCTCTTATTACTGAGAGAAAAAACAAGAACAACATCTATTCCATACCTGAAGATGTCTGTAGGAACAGACGAAAGCTTGTAGTAAAAATAAGAACTAATGCAGCAGAAATTTATAGAAACAAGGATCTTTTCATTCATAACAGTTTCGGGGGTTCTTGTATATTATTTGAATTGTTTGCGACGATGGATTTCTCGCCAATTAAATCATTAACCTTTGCATTTGTTTTTGTATGAATAATTCATGAATTTGTAAATTGATTGCACGTTTATCGAATATATATATATATATATATATATATATATATATATATATATATATATATATATATGTGTGTGTGTGTGTGTGTTTGTGTGTGTTTTACTATATCCGAGATTAAAGTTAGCATGAACGGCTACTGTTCTAGGTCCTTTTATACTAATGCAGGTGTATCCCAGAGTTCTATTGTTGACCCTAATTCGTTCTTCATCTTCGTTAACGACCTAGCTGATGGCATCAGCTCTCAATTTAATCCTGTCTCAATTCTAAGTCTGGTCAGTTCGATGTCAAATTGGTGGCTGATGACAAAAAAAAAAAAAAAAAAAAAACGACCTACAGACTGTTGTTAACTAGGGAAAAGAATGGCTTGTTACTTTTTAACCCTTCCAAAGCAAAATTGCTTTCTATTAATCATCTGAGAGAGCGCCCTTTCTGCCTTTCATCCGTATGAATGATTCAAACCTACACCAGAATGAATCGTTGCAAGGTGTTTTGTTAACAATCTCGGCTGACATTAAGTAGAAAGACTATACTGAATCAATTGCTAGGTCAGCTGCTAAGAAAGTTGGTTCACTGTGTCGTGCTAGACAACTTTTCTCTCCTGAATCTATCTTGCATATTTATATGTTTACCATTCGTCCAGGCTTAGAATATTGACGTCACATATGGTCCGGTACACCTGCTATATATCTAAAGATCTTGATGAAAAGATCTCTTCTAATTTACTGCTTCTTTATTTTGAAGGAGCTGGTCTTTAGGATACGAAAAGATCTCTACTAATCTACTGCCTCTTTAGAACACAGACAACCATGTTTCTCTAATGATTCCTTTTCTTTATTATCTGCACATCCCAAACAAAGAGAAAAGAATAGATTTACTTATCGCCCGATTCACAAACCTCCCCGGTCTTTGAACAGGAATAGAAGTTTACCATTTGTTTCCTGTTTAGGTTTGGGTTTCTAGTGCCTTCTAAAGTCTTGTCGTTATTGTTTTTTTGTTTTTCATTCCCAGTAGCACCTTGCGACTTAGTGGCATTA